TGTATAGACAGGTGTGTGGCTTTCCTAATCACGTCCAATCAGTATAATCAAACACCGCTGGACTCAAATGAAGGTGTAGAACCATCTCAGGGATGATCAGATGAAATGGACAGAGCCTAAGTTAAATATATGAGTGTCACAGCGAAGGGTCTGAATACTTATGACCATGTGATATTTCAGTTTTTCTTTTTTAATAAATCTGCAAAAATGTCAAAAATTCTGTGTTTTTCTGTCAATATGGGGTGCTGTGTGTACATTAATGAGGAAAAAAATGAACTTAAATGATTTTAGCATATGGCTGCAATATAACAAAGAGTGAAAAATTTAAGGGGGTCTGAATACTTTCCATACCCACTGTAGAAATGTTTTTGTAATCACTAATTTCCATAACCTAACCCATTACACAGCATTCCATGACCACAAGAATTCCATTAATTTCTTTTATCAGTATACCTGGATACCTCTGACAGAGGCAACTGTTTACTCTTATAAAGCCCACCCTAAGTTCAAACTGCCAGACACACTTAAACGGCTCAATGGTATTACTGTAAGTGTGCTGACTTTCTGATATTGTATTCACCCAGTCACCACTTCTGTTAAGTTTGGAATAATATATCATGTTTACTTCATTACTCCATGCTGTTTTAGTCTTAAATATGTTTGTCTCTGAACTGAATGTTATATGGCTCACTTTTATAAAAACCTTTTAAAGCCATTATATGAATTGAGTGTTCCTGTCAAAACTCTTTTTACTGTAACATTTTTAACTCTTTGGCCTCTTGAGAAACTACAGTACTGTGCATGTTGCATACATACTCCACTCCAAATGGACAGTACTAGTGCACACAAAGTAGTTGTTCACTTCCTGTGCTCCAGTGTTTCTTGAGCACAAAATATCTTTTTTTTTTTTTTTTCCTGTTTCTGTGCTGAAGTGATCCTTACTCCTTTTATGGAGTGTAGTAGTATACAACTTGGTGCTTCTGATTTGGTGGCATTTAAATAAGCACAATTAGCTCTCGCCTGATTGTTGGCCATGTTATATCAGAGGACTTTGCAGTTAAGTTTATCTCAGTTTTCCCTGGGTGTCTTTTAAGCTGTTTTATTTAAGGTTCCTTTCACAAAGAATAGCACCCTATTGTGGTCACAGCTTTTGTGTCTGTATGGCCTGTAACACTGGCTTCAGTGTAGGCTTACATATAGGCATGTCAGAATTGAGACAGACTTCAAAAGGTATTCTTTGATATCTTTAATAAACACCCATTTTGCTTCAGACAAATTCCTGCCAACAGCACAGCTTTCTTTAACTCCCACTATAACATCTACTCCCCCTTCATGAGTAACACTCCATGCCATTTTATTAAATGTATTTGCATCTTTTTAAAATAGATTACATACAGTCCCAGCCAGTCATGTTCTGGATTTGATAACCTGTGCTCATCTAGCCTGACTTAAAGTACAGTCAGAGAAGGGCCACCATTCTTCCTGCATGGAGGAACAGTCTCTGTTTCTTCTGAGCTCAGTGACCATGGTATGAAAACTGTTATGCATTCCAATGTGTTCTGATATAGAAAAGAATAGACTCAACAGATGAAATGCCAAGAAATAGGTAAATGTGACCAAGTAACACAAAAGTGTAAAAAAAAAAGTCCAAATTAACAGATACTGTAGTTCCAAACTTTTAACTTGAGCTTGAAATTTTATTGTATGTAAGTCAGTATTCTACAGCATGTCTCTAACACCGGCATTCTCTCGCATCATGCTGCTGTAGACTGAAGTGTACACCTTCAAAACATCCAGGGCTGAAGGGCGGAGTTTGGGGTCTTCCTTCTTGCACTCCTCGTGGATCTGAAAAAGATGGAAGTGGACTAAATCTCCTCCAGGTACCCTTCCCATCAGAAACCTTGTCACATCAGGGATTTTCCAAATATCTGTCTTCTCATCATACGCAGGCATGAGATCATCTGAAAATGGCTTCCCTTTGTTTCTGAATGGCCACAGCTGCTCTGGGGCCACAAAGTCCCCAGTGAGCTCTCGGTGGCCACATTTGACCAATAAGCCTCTGGATGGGTCCATCTCAGGCAGCGCATCCAGATCATTGACTACCAGGTGAAAGTCACTTGTCAGCAGAAACTGGGAGAGAGTTTTCTCCAGGCTGTTGGAATCACACATAACCCGTCGCCCAGCTGGGCTATTATGAAGGTAATGGAGGATAGCGACATAGTCCGTAGCCAGCCTCAGCCGTATCTGCCATGTGTTATGTTGCCGGTGTTGCTCTTGTGCAAGAACACCATCCAAGTTGAGCAGTGAGCCAAGCGGGTGGAACTCGGTAACCAGGATGTGATCCTCAAGGCAAAACCCCACTAGCTGCACCACCTGTGGGCCCTGCAAGGCCTGTAACATGGACAATCCATGGAGAAAATCCTCCAAGTAATCCAAAGAGAAAAGTTTGGACAGAGCCACCTTCTGGCTTCTCCACTCAGCCAGATAGACCTGGGGAAGAAAAAATGGATGCTGAGGTTAGTGGCTCTAGAGTTAAAGCTGCACACAGCATACTGACCACATCTGTGTTTTCTTACCCTAAATTAAACAAACCTGCTGCAAAAAGAAGCTTATTTATGACATAGCAGGTGAGCGCTCCCCAAATGCTATACAGGGTGACCTATTCTGCTCTGTTTCACAAATGCCATGGAGCTTTAAGTCATGCTGTCAAAAACCTCTCAATAAAACATAATTTCAGATGTGTCAGCACTTGCATTAGGGGACCTGAGAAAATATAATCTAGCTGTTCATGTCTTGACATCACAGAGCTGTACTGAATCAGAAATTAAAAAAGCAATCCCTTGATGTTAAAAATCCTGTTGAGGTAAAGCGATCCATCGCTTTTATGGGAGGTAGTCGATGTAAAGGGAACATGAGATTAGAGGTGATGTTGAGGTGGCATTCTGCTTCAAACAAGGAGCATGACCAATTCAGTCTGGGCCCCTGAGCTACTTAATAAGCACCATCAACTACCAGCCAGCCAACAGGATGGGGGGACTTTTATAAGGTTAGCCTAATTATATGAGCCTAGAGTAATAGTGAGGTGAGCTACTAGTTAACTTAACACAGGCTACTTTTTTTCATTCAGCCAGAGCTGCTTTAAACCCTCACAGTTGAGTTCTGCCTCTTTCATTTCACCAACATAAAGGTATAGTTGGTAAATTCTGCAATACAAATACATTTATCTTTTTTCATCCACACACTATAGTGTAAAAGTCCAGCTACCTTTTTAACAGCCCCCTGGCCGATCAGCTTCAGTTTGCGCACTTCAGTTTTTATCTGTGAACACTGAAGCCATGGGGAGCAGTTTTTCATGGTCACCATTTTAAAGTGTTGGGGCCCACAGCCTATGTGAGAGGACACGAGCTGCTCATCAGTTTGATACAAGGAGTCCAAATATAGGTAGATCAAGACATTGCTGAGGAGCAAAGCAGCAAGACACACCACCACCGCTGGAACACTCTGGGAGACTGTACTCCTACTGCTCTGAGCCATGGTGACCTGCATCTGAAATGGAAAGCAAAGGGGTGAGAGGATGATACAAATATATTACCTACAGCTAATATACCCTGAGATGATTTTTTTGTTTTGATTTAGTAATGTACAAATAAAACTAAAATTGAATTGAAATTTAAGAGCAGCTTTAAAAAGTAACTTTTGCTGCCTCTTCTGGTTAGAAGCTGTTTCACCTTTGACCTCACCAAGTTTCGTTAATGAGTGAGGACAGAAATATATGGTGTTGCAGATGTCTAAAGGTCCTGGGCTATGCCTGTACCTCACAGTCATGGTTATGTATTATATGTAAGTATGCGTGTGCACGCTGTGTATAGATAGATAAACATATAGAGATTACTCTTCAAGTACTCCTAAGTGGCTTAAATTTAATTTCTTATATAAACTTAAAAACCATTCAGCTATCAATATGTTCAACTCTTAAAGGACATTTCTGCAACCATTTCATAATAAAAGCAGGCTGGATTTTAAAAGTAACAAATTATTTAAGGACGTTTATTTAAACACTTTGGAATTAGGAATATGTGTATTAGGTATTATTTAGTTTTCATTTTTTCTAGACGCTCATCGAGGCGATAATATGATTGCTCACCCGAGCCCTCCTCCGGCGGAAGGGGGCGCTATGACAAAACACCGGACTTCGACAGGCATAAGATCAATAATTCAAACAAACGCACAACATACTGTAGCTTTCGCGGATGACTGAATGGTATAAAAGGGATTTTAACGTTTTAACGGTGCATTAAGTACGAGCAAAATAACGCTACATGCAAGACAACTAAGTAGAAGCTAGTCCAGCGAATGCAAAGCAGCAATGCAGGAAAATGATACGTAACGTCGTCAACATTAGTGACTTTTATCAACATACCTGCCTGAACACGAGTTGTCATGGTATCATGCTTTATCACTTTTTGACGAGAACAACACAGAATAGCACACTACACTCATTTAGCTTGAATTTCACCCGCAAACGGATAGATAAAAAAAAAGCCTTCCTGTCAGATTTACAGTATAAATGTCATATACACAAAACTCAGTTATTAACGAAAGAAAGCACCGTAATATTATTTCCATTCCCCCTTTGCAGGAATATATTGCTTAAATATAATATAGCCCATTTGTCACAGACCTGCCAGACCATGTATATTTAAAAGAGAGCAACGTCATTCACACAAATATTTACGTGTGTGCGCGTTTGCGTAATACTTTTACTCTGAAAAAGAGGAAGTGTGGTTGTTAGTGGTTCGTACCAACAACACAGGTTATCGCCTCACTCAGTACCTGCGAGGGAAGGACGCCCAGCGGCAGCGAGCAGGTAACACTTTGCTTACAAATCATAGCTCTTTATAATTCCCTATCTAGCTAAGTCGCAATCTGATGCGAGCTACAATTTAAATATGTTTAATTAAACTGATCACGACTCAGATTTGCTGCCTTGTTTAACCTGTCAAAACAACAGCGACACACAAGATAGCCAACGTTAGCTCATGTACAATACCGACATGACAGTCAAGGTGTTAAGTTTCAGGGAAAACCCATGCTTGCAGTTATCTTACAGCTTGCCTGATTAGACTTTAGGGATCTTGTATGTTTTTATAGATCGTAGCTAATAGCATTAGCGTTAGTTAAAGATGGCTTAGTAGTGGCTTCCTGTTCAGTCAAGGCGTGACAGCTGTTTATTCGCAGTGATGTTTTTTCCTTATGAAAAACAAAAATCAGAATTATTATTTTTTTTACATATTGAAATTTATACTGTAAAATACATTTTGTATTTAGCTCTACTCTTATGTCCAGAGTAGCATATGCAGATGCTCTTTTTCTAACTTAGCCCATCGTTGCTATTATTTGTATTGGCCAGCTGTTAAAAGAAACCCAACAGCTGTGCGCACCACAATGCGGCGATGTTAAGATGGTTATAAATTAGGTTTTGGGTGGCAGGATAAACATGTAAATATTTAGCCTTAAAGCCTGGTGTACTACGTGCCGTGGTCCATGAGTGGGATGAGCTCTGTTTCCATAGCTTCGTCTGTGTCCTCGGTGGGTTGTGATGTCAGCACAGCACCGCCCCTCCCCAAGCCCTCCTCTCCTCTCCCTGTCATCCCCACCTTAACTTTGAAGGCGATGAGTCACCAAGTTGGCTCAACGTCTTCTTTTAACTAATCTTTGCATCACTGCGATGAAGTGTCTAGATTTATTAGCTGTTTAATTTGTTGGATTGTTGAATTTTTTTTTTGTTGGATACACAGTTTATCATTATGCCATAAAGGTACAATAGAGTATTACAATACAATGTATATCAGCATTACAGTATAAGAGTTCATAAGCTGCAATAGAGGATTTTACTATGTTTACCAAAAGCAGACATGAGACCATCAATACTAGTCATTTTCATTTCTGTTTGTTTATTTTGATCTTTCTATTTTGAAGTCTGACCATTTAGGTGCATTTAAGAAATTGGAGTATGAGAAAGCGAGAAGGTCAGAGGAAGCTATTATTATTATTATTATTATGATTATGATAACAACATGTGGTTATTGAGGTGTGCTTGTCCATGCACTAATACATCCTTTATGCTATTACTGTATGTGATTTGTAAAGTTAAAAGGTGGAATTTTTGGGGAGTAAAAGGAAATGGTTCCATTCATTTAAGTAAGGATTCTGTGGTTTTCTGTTTTTATTTTATTTTTTATTTTTTTACACATGTAGCTTAATATGTATGTATAACCAGATCAGCTACCTCCAGTTAAAAGAGAATGGTTTTAAAAGCAAGCAAGTGTTTAGGTTCCTGAAGTTTAAAGTCAGAGTGAAGCTTGTTCCTTAAGGTGGAGCATCATACATAAAAGCTTTGTACCATTGCTTAGTTTGCACCTGAACCAGAAAGCTGATATATGTTCATAGAGTGCAAACAAAAAATAGTTCCCAACATGTTGGATGTAACAAAATTGCATACATGCAGAGGTAGAACACCAGGACAAGCTTTACAGATCGGTGAGTAGCAGCGGGTGAGTCTGTATGAGGCCAGTTGGTGCCATTTGACCTGATCACACAAACACGATGATTGGTACAGGCAGCTAGTAGTCAGACAGTTAGTAATAAACCTCAAAGCACCATGGTAACAAGAGTCTGAAGTGCAAAGCCTTTGAGAGGAGGCATGTTTGTGTATGGCATCTCCAGAATCCAGAGCCGCTTCAGTTTAGCTTGTTTTTATTGTCACTTTGGTTCTTTTTGTAGCTTTTTGAAGGACTGTGTGCTTTCAGTGTTACTGATTTGCAACTTTTACTGCAGTAGTCTAGTATTGCAGATATATTAAAAATTAAACCCATCCCCTGCAAAAAATTCAAGTTCCAATTTAAGTGAAAACATTGTCGATAGGAGCTTTCTTTAGCTTGAAACAAGCAAGCTCCCACTTAAGGAATTTTGTCTTGATAAGACTTATTAAAATACGCTAGAATAACCAGCTACCATGAATCTTAAAACAGGTTTAAGTAAATTAAGATTTGTGCTGTTCTTGTTGCTAGACACTGAACCCTATTAACAACATGTAAATAAATAAATCAAATGTACCATCGGATCTGGCTGAGTTACTGAGTTCCATGCCCTGGGTTTTCCTTCAGGTGGTTGCTCAAGACAGACTTTTGAACCACTTTATCTTCTGGGAGTCCAGCATTGTAGTCCAACATGCTGAAGGAGTGAGGTCCAGCAGGGATCATACCTCCCCTCATATTCCTACTTTTCAACCAAGCTGAATAAGGAAACAGGTGAAACAGATGCCATCTTGTACAGTTTATCTGCCTCATTTTTCTCTACACAGTGGTGCTGACAGCCTTTGTTTGACATTTGCAGCCTAGACAGCAGGAGTGAAACGCTGTGAGAACCACATACATGATGGGAGTCCATGTGCTTGGTTTCGTGATGCTAACATTCATCTGGCAGAGCTACAGCCTGCAAATACGGAACCCTATGTATGGGTCCAAAAGGTAAATAAAAAAAAAAGCTCTTTTTGTTTTGGATAGAATTGATTGGATCTTTAAAAGTAGGTTTTTGATCATTTTTAGCTGTTAATTTGTTTAGAAATATAGTTTTTCTTACTTCTGGCATCTTAGTTTTAAGACTGCAATTTGCCCATTAGCTTAAAGGCACCTAGTGGATTTTTTTTCACTCTGAGCTTCTTATTAAAACCCACTGTTTTGTTTGCCTGAAGCCAGTAAACATGCATTTTCTTCCTCAGAGAACATTACTAAACATTTTTTTGAATTCTTATTTATTTATTTATTTATTTTGCTGTTCCTGATTATATTAGCATGCAGTCTGTGATGAAAATTCTCTTATGATGAGATATGAAATGGGGACCATCAGTGTTCAGTTGTAAGCCTGAAGTCTTTATTCTTGGCCAAGAGAGTCAAACACAGTTCGGGTCTGATTCTGAGTGCACTAAAGCAGTAAGTACAAGACTTTGTCTTTTATATGATTATACCCAGTTTCCAGCATCAGCACAGCACGCTCCTGGAACAGAGAGTCCCAGTTCCTGTCCCTGCTTGGAGGCAAATCCTCCCAGTCCTTCAGCTAGTTTTGATAAGATTCTACATATTTACGCATTTCCTCATGAGCACAATTGCACAGTTTGTACTGAACAAGAACACAATGCCACGAACATATTTAATCATTACTACATAATAAATTTTCCATTACAAGTCTTTGCTAACTTTGCTGGTGCGTTGCTACGTCTTTTTTTTTAGGCATTACCACCACTTCGTGTTAATCAGTGAGTTAGCACAAACTTATTTGTAGAAATGTGTATTAGTCAAATTTTTAGTTAGCTAAACTTTATTCATTCATTCATTCATTTTCTACCACTTAGTCCCTGAACGGGGTCACGGGGGGGAGGCTGGAGCCAATCCTAGCCGGCAGTCGGGTGAAGGCGGGGTACACCTTGGACAGGTCGCCAATCCATCGCAGGGCTAACACATAGACGAACTACCACACACACCCACATGGGCAATTTAGAGACACCAATCAACCTAAGCTGCATGTCTTTGGACTGTGGGAGGAAGCCGGAGTACCCGGAGAGAACCCACGCAAGCACGGGGAGAACATGCAAACTCCACACAGAAAGGTCCCGGTTGGGGCCCGAACCCAGAACCTTCTCGCTGTGAGACAATGGTGCTAACCACTGCGCCACCATGCTACATCAAAATATCAATGGTTGCATAAACTTTATATAATAAGAAAATCCCATTGAAATCTTTTGCAAGGGGGCCTGAGAATAAATGACATATATACATGTTATAACAATAAACATCACTCACCCAAACTACCTTTACACACACAAACACACTAATTAAAACAGTCACGGTTCTTATTAGCAATATAAGCTAATAAATACTTAAAATCTGTCAGAGGAACAAGTGCTTCTAACTTCAGTTTATGTTGAGCTCATTCAAGCAAGTGAGGTGCACTGGAAACCAGTGTTCTTCATTTCAGAGGTGGCATGAGTAACTTTTAGAGCCAGTCTATTCTGTGACCTGGCATCATCACTGTGAGCTCTGAACTGAACTAAGGCTGATAAGATAAATATCTTGACAGCTTACACAGCAAAACTTTATATACACAGTGGTGTATGCGATAACTACAACATACAGGATATCTCTTTATAATCCAGTGTAGACAGTATGGTGGATTGTATAATGGTTTTCTGGTTTCAGAGGTGAAACAGGTTCTGTTTCAGTATTAGGACCGGATATTGATACTGATATCTTGATTCACTTCCATTAATTGAGATTCACTTTGTTTCCTGATGATTCAATTATCTCAGATATTGCAAAAAGTGCTTCTCAGAATCGTTGGAACTTTAAAACATTTCTGCATTCAACAAGTGAACAATGCACTTGTTTCGTAGCGTATAAAATAAATGAACATTTTAGGCTAAAATCGTAAACACGTTACTTGGTTATAATATTGTGCATCAAGGATTTATTTTCCTTTGCAAAGCTACCTTAACACATCTTTATTTTTTAGGAATAATGAAAACTCTATACCATTAACAAGGGTGTCATCATTATGCATAATTTAGCTGATATCCCATACAGCTCCATACAGTAGCAGATGCTTGTACTAAGTTGTCTGCCTCGGTTCCATACCGGAGACAAATTCCTTGTGTGTGTAACATACTTGGCCAATAAAAGTTATCATTTAGGTGAATGGGAATATCAATGGTTGCATAATGCAATGGCTGGGAAATGCACAGACTTTTGTTTTGAGCAAGCTTTTGATTCAAAAAGAACGTCCACAGTCATTGCAGACAAACAGCATGTGTTCTGGAAAATGCATGGTTTATGGTAGGGCTGATAGCATACAAGATGGCCATACCATAAAAATGTGCATTGCATCTCTGAGTTGGAAAATAAACATTTATTTACAGAGAAAAAAGCAGTGGGCCTAACTTTGAGCCTTGAAGAACAATTTTATAAAACATCACATACTGTACAAACAGTTAGCATTTGTGTTAGCTTGTTCCTAGCCTGCTATGTCATTAGCTTAACAAGCTCACTTCCACCTGTATGTGTGTTAACACATACAGGTGGAAGGGAGTCTGCAGCAAATCTGAATTGATTGCTTTTCTGCAAATGGGTGTACATTTAACAGCTGTTTTGATAAATCACTCTTACTGACCCCACCCTCAGTCAAACACTAACACCAAGAGCAGAGATGAGAGAGAATGGAGGAACTGCACCTTAAACAAACAAAAACGATATGCTGCCTGTGTAGACGGCTGGACTGATTAAACACTTGTTCTGACACACATTTAGGAAATGGATGAGAGAAAAACATGGTCAAAATGTTTTCAGCATAGACATGCCTAAGTGAGAATGTCATCAGCTACATTAATATCTGACTCAGGACCATAACAAACTTGTTTGTCTTCACATCCTCACACAATGCTAATGACAGGCTGAACACTGAACACAGCTTACGGGATAAGGCCTGAGATTTTCTTTATTTTGATTCTTGTTACAAAATCCTTAGAGTGTATTCCTCTATGCCATAAAGCTCCATTGTTCATCAAAAATTGTGAAAAAAAAGAAAAAAGCTTTGGTCCTTTCATTGGATTTGTCAACAAACAAGAAAAATGTAGAAAATCACCAGCCTTATTATGTAAGGCAGCAGCTACGTATGTGCTGTGTCAGCCACATACAGACTCGGAGCGAACAAGGGCTTAGTAGGCATATGTGTAAAACATGTTTACATCAAAATGTCAATCTTTGGACTGTGTGTATTTTTGTGTACATATTGGTTGTTGTGTTTGACTCAACTAATAATACTGCCTTTATTATTAATAACTGCGATTCATGTTGTAAAGTAAACTACATCTGTGTTCCTCCCTAAGGTCTCAGGAAAATGTCATGCTGGATCCCAGCAACTGTGTGTTCAGGACTGAGCAGCCACAAGTCTTCACAAACTCTCACAACTTCTCTGTGGATATTCGGATGCCTGGTGTTGTTCCAACTGGGGTGAGACTGTTTCTCTGAAACATACTACTGAATGAAGGATTTGCATCCTTTGCCTTTTGAGAGTATAACTTAACATTACAGCTGAAACCATGAATTGCTTTATTGGTTGGTATATGTGAATATTTCCTATTTTTCTTCTGTGATAGTAAACTGAAAACCTTTGAAGGTATTGTCTTAGACTCTGGGAAATTGTGCTGCACTATTTTTAACTTTTAACACCCAGGTGTTAAGAGATAAAGCAGTTACTGTAACTGATTACTTCTGAAAACATGTAGCAAACTAGTCTTTACTATCATTAATTGCAGCTGTATTTATCATTCTCTCTTGTGGACTTAGAAATCAGATGGAATTTATTTTTCCAGGGGAGTTGGGATTGATTCATGTATAGTTTTTTTTTTTTTTTTTTTTTTTTTTTTTTTTTTTTTTTTTACCCCCTAATACTTGCTTTTATTTCAGTGCACTTGCTGGACTTCTTATAATTTCTCATACCAATGTCCCATCTGAACATACTTTGCATTTGATTTTTATTTGTCTGAAAAGCTAGCCAAGCTGCCAAGTTATTAACACCAACAGCCAGTTGGATTTAGGAACCCATATGATGAAGGAAAAAGAAACAAGACCAAACTAAGCACTTGGGTTTTAGCTATCTAATAGCCTGATTCTGTAATAGAAACTTTGCACTGGCCCAGGAACCAATTTTTTTATTAAGCAAGGAACCTTGAGTACATTTTGACTGAGGAAACAGGGAATATTTTTAGTTCCTCGGCCATATAGTTTAGTGTCAATAGGTTTACGTAATTCTTATTGATGCTCCAGGATCTATCACTTTAAGGGTTTGCTGTGCCGAACATCACTTACTGTACCAATCAGCGTGGCACGCATCAACTGTGCACATAATTGTATTTTCGTTAAAAATTAAATAGCTTTGTATCTGTAAATTTCAGGCTTAAAGGAATGCACCATAAAGTTATGTTGCTGAACACAACTTTCATCAGCTGATGACTGTTCTGTATTATTCAGTGATGAATATCATTATTGTGTTCTTTAATGTTTCAGTCAGACACTTACCTGTGCATGGCATTTCCTGTGCCAACCAGTCGAGATGCATATATTGGTGAGTATAGCACTAGTCAAATAAGTAATAGTTGTAGCAGAGATTGCAGAAAAAGCTGAAGCACACATTGTAAAGGTAGAAGAAGAATAGTGGTAGTAGATGCAAGAGAAGTCATTGCAGCACTAGAAGCTGTGGTAAGGTACAGCAGATCACGTCGAGACAGAAATGGTCAGAGAGAATTGAATCCTGTTGAGTATATCAGGACATTTCATAAATAATAAATATTTAACCACAATGCTTTTTCTCCTCAGTGGACTTCATACCTCATGCCAGTATGGACACAGTCCATCACTTGCTGCTGTTCGGCTGCCGGATTCCCATCTCCACCAGAAGCTACTGGTAATGTCTGGCTACAGGTCACAGCTCAGTGTGTACAGTGTTTAGGTTAGAGGTGAAGAGAAGCAAAACTCAGGGTCTGTGACCCTTATATTATTATTGATAATCATAGCATTGTTTCAGTTACATCCTATAGCAGTCTTAAGACATCACATTTATTTTTATTGTATAAATGGTGCCCCAAACACCAGCAGTAAGTATTACTGCAAAGAGCATATTATATTTAAGTATTTTTACTCATCAAATAAAAAAATGCAACATCTTAGTGAAATGGAGCTTTTCTCTCTCTTTAGATAGAGCGGTAGTTCTATTGTCCTCAAGGAGTAAGTTCTTTCTGGAGTGTGCACATACATAGCATAAACCAAGCGGGACATACCATTTGGCACAACATTGTAGACAACACAGGCCTGATTAGCTTTTTTTTTTTTTTCTTTTTAGAAGATGTTACTTAATTAAGGCTTGTATGGCTGTGGGGACAGAGCTCTTACTGGACAGGCCTTTCTACACATAAGCAGTCAATACCTGTGGCCAGAAGGAATGGGGTAAAGTGCTGGTAAAGTGGCTGGTCTGGGTTATGTGTAATCTTGAGTGCTTTGCGGCTCACAGATGAGGTGACAGTCAGATAAGCTGGGAGTGGGAATCCCTCAAGGTTTACTGGCTAAGGTATGTGAAGGACTCCACCACTTCTACATTTTCTCCTTTGATGGTGAGACTGGCAGAATGGGGTGGTGTATTGGAGGGGCTAAAAACCTGTTCTTTGTTTTTTGAGTTGTTAAGATGAGGATGGGGTTATTGTCACACTGTGTGCAAAAAGCAGAGACAGAGTCACTGTTATAATTGTTATTATAAAAAAATCCATAAATATTTCCCATGATTATAAATGAACATTTGACTTTAGGTGTAATTCCTCTCCACTCTGGCAGCAGAATCTGTTGGATATTAGTCATCTTATTAGTCAACACATACACAATAGTTTCTTTGTCATTAGGCATCAGAGAACACTCACTCAGTAACACCCTTATGACAATACTACACTAATTAACAGTATATTCTTAGACTTTATTTAATTTTTTGAAAACGATTTCTCTTGTTTATAGTTTCTTATTCTATTCTAGTTATGTGACCATAGCCTGTTGTTGCAGATCATGTTTTGCTCTGGTTCTAAGTGGATTTCCCTACCTGCTCCATCCCATACTAGAGTAAATATTTTATTAATGGTTCTGGTGATGTTGTTTCCAATTAACAACTCCACCTCTTTCACATGAATGCACTTGTAGACTGATAAGAAAACCCAGACTTTCCAAAGCTGGTTGATAGGTGAGTTTGTGGTACCATTTGATCAGTAAGGCCAATGGTAGACTCAGTGAAGCCATGTAACACTGCCTTTTGTTTTTGATACTTTACAGACTTAGTTTGACAGTCAAACTGCTGTATGACAAGCAGTCTACAGCTAGTTACCCTCGACTTTGACTGAGAAGTCACACAGACTGTATGATGTGTAATATATTCTGTATTCCCTGAATGGAAATGCCTGGTCATGTTCCTCGCAGCCAAACTCTACAGCAGACCGCTGTAGTGGGGACAGGCGTATGTGTTTCTCTGTGACTACTTCTATGATTCACTGTTGTCCCATCTGGTCATTCATCAACACAAAATGGCATTGATTGTGTTATTTCAACAGATTATTATCTGTCTCCAGGGACTGCGGCAGTGCACAAGGCACTTGTGAGGATGAACCTTCCATTATGTATGCCTGGGCTCGCAACGCACCACCTACTAAATTACCCAAGGGTATGTCTCTCATAGGGTTGGTTCACACTTTCTGAAAGTCTAATATTTATCCACTGACCCCTGGCTGTGTCTAGCTCTGAAGAGAGGGTCATTCACTTTGAGATTTTTCCCCCCCCATTCTTAATATGATAGAGGAAAATGGAATTTATTTTGAGGTGACCGCATTATTGAAAAGTAGCATGTCTTTCCAGAAACAGTGTCCCTGTTACCCTGTATAATCCACAGATCATAGGGTCTGTCTCTTAGTAGAAAGTATTACAGTGCCACTGAAAGTACATGTGGCAAGGTACTGTATGTTGTTAAGTATTTTTTTATGTACAATAATGCATCTTTTCCCCCTGAGTTGTTAATATCTTTGTGTGGTTTCATGTCTTTTTCAAACCTCTGCTCTTTTCTCTATTGTCCCGTCAGATGTTGGTTTTAAAGTTGGAAGAAATTCAGGGATTTCCTACTTTGTGCTGCAGATCCATTATGGAGATGTCAATGCTTTCAGAGGTGAGTCTTAATAGAAGTTGTAGTCCTGGCATTTATCTAAGAAGTTTTACTTCTTAGTAAGTATTCAGTCAGTAGCCAGGAAC